AGACTTGACGTTTAATAGTCTTAACAGAGTAATCTTCAGAAATTCCCAAGTTAATGATTAAACTGTCTCTTTTTTTGTCCTATAAAACTCCCAAAAGTTTTACTGCGTTGTCCTTTTCTCCATCTTCTTCTTCGATAGCCTCCTCAAATTCTGGATTATTAGAAGACCATTCTCGCAGCCAAAATTATTTTAAATGATTAATCCGACTGAGACTCATCAAGAAGCTAATTAAAGATCCGGTATTTGAAGCTGAAGAAAATTCAATACTGATCCCAGCAACTTTTAACGACGCCTTATATAGCATTCGTTAAGCAAACTGGCCAATCAATTACGCCCCAGAAGCGTTCCCCTGGGGGTAAATAATGGTTTTCTACTGTAGTTTAGAGCTGCCTTTCACGTGCCGCTGCTGCAGTGCCTCTGCGCGGTTATCAATTAAATTGACGTGTCGATTACTCTTTTCGTTCAGCTTAGCGCAACTCTTTGCAACCATTTTAATAATTCTTTTAACAATGCCAAGTTATGCTCGTTCTGATCCATTCGGCTGCTCGTAGGTCTTCCGCTAGTCTTTTTTTTGTGAGAACCATACGAATGATACTACTCATTGTAAAACTTGATTTTCTTAAATGCCCCAAATACTTTCAAAGGGTTTTAAATCTTATCCGTTGATCCTGCAATGGTCGTTGATCAAAGATGTTGTAGCTCAGTTTAACTGGCCGTCGCGCTCAGACTAAACAACACCTTTAAATGATTTTATTTTTACTACGCCTTGTTAATTATTATCAATAGACGGAGAAACTATAGACTTATAATTGAGAAATTGATTGAAAGACAAGAAATGACGTAATTGCAGTATTGAAAGATAATGAAAAAACCTATATACATAAACAAGACACAACTGAGACACAAATATATTATAAAAGAAATCAGGCAAAATGCCCTACCTTGGTTTTAGAGTAGACTAACAACAAATGGAAATGAGCTCGTGCTTGATTAGCAGTGTTTGACAGTACTCTAAGTTTATAACGTGCCCATTTGGCACTTTGTTGTCTTATTGCTTCAGTGGTTTATTTTAATAGAGTTTGTTCATAATATTTAAATACTATAAAGGAGTCAAGCATGTGCCTGGTGATTCCTTTCTTACTGTTATTCCTTTCCATATTGTTATATTACTGAGTGATGATGGACCGTATTAATCTCTCTTTTGAGGCCCCTCCTCCTGGCAAACTGCGACTGGAGCGACGTCGCTGTCGTCGCAGCTTCAAGCAGCCGGAGAGACATGTCGACCGTGTCAATCTTGGCTAAGGGCTAATAAGTCCCCTTATAATGCCGAAAATGCGCTGTGCAGTTGCAGATTTACAAACAATTATGCGGCATTATGGACGGGTTTGACCTTCTGTAGCAATAAGTTATTAAGTAACGTGGAACATCAGTACGAGGCAAACGAGGCGATGACGTCACGCCAGCAATGTAAAAATATTTAATTACTCAAGTTTGAGGTAAGCTGTGCGGCGGTGACAAGTGTGAGACATTATGGACGGGTTTGACCTTTTGTAGCAATAAGTTATTAGATAACGTGGAACAGCAGTTTGAGGCAAACGAGGCGATGGAGCGTAAAACAAACAGTTTCTGGAGCGGTGACTGAATCAAGTTGTGTGAGGTGCAGTGGTAGGTGACGCAGCACCTCAAATAGAAGTTCGTGCTTCGTTCCCGTAAAGC